CTATATTTAAATATAAATTTTAAATGTTATAGTTACGATGTCTACCAAAGGAGATAGGATTTTGGATAAATCTTTACCAAAAATTGGTGAGAAGTCTTTGTTTACGGAAGAATTAGAGCTAGCTTTAGAAAATGGGCGTGTTGATTTTTTAGTACATTCATTGAAAGATTTACCCACATCCCTGCCAGAGGGAATGGCTCTAGGTGCAATATTAAAGTAAGTATCCAATTAATGAAATTCTCATATAGCAATTTAGCATGCCATCCATGTCTGGGTATTTCAAAATGTTGGTCTAAATATCTGAAATTTAAATTCCCGATGAAATTATCATGTTCATGAAAAAAACATGATACTGCAGGCAATGTAGACTTGTTGCTTGCGCAGTAACTCTTGAATTTATTGCCACTACCAACTTTATACAGCTCCCCTAGTATCATAAAGAAGAAGCTTTGTTAAATCTGATTTCTTAATAAATTTTTCATATGTTTTTTTAAATCTTAAAATGATAAGTTCTTAGTTATTTCTATACCGAATCTTTAATATTTAAAATTTATTTCAGACGTGAAGATCCACGTGATGCAGTTGTTATGTCTAAAAAATATAAGGACAAAACATTATCTATGTTGCCTGAAGGTTGTGTAATTGGCACAAGTTCATTGCGTAGATCAGCTCAGTTAGCTAGAAATATGCCACATTTAAAAGTAGAAAGTATTCGTGGTAACTTAAACACTAGATTGAAAAAGTTAGATGATAAAGAGGGACCTTTTGCAGCTATTATTTTGGCAGCTGCTGGTTTAAAGAGAATGAATTGGGAAGATAGAATAAGTGAGGTAATTTTGAATTGAATTTCATATAAAACTAAAAGACTTTTAATACGTCACTAATATATTTCTAATGTTTTTCAGTTGTTAGAACCAGAGGATACAATGTATGCTGTGGGACAAGGCGCATTAGGAGTTGAATGCCGGGAGTCTGATTTGGAATTATTGCCCCTTTTGGAACCTCTGTACGATGTAGAAACAACAATAAGATGTGTATGCGAACGTTCTTTCTTGAAAACATTAGGTGGCGGATGTTCTGCACCTGTTGCGGTTTCTTCGACATTGGTAGACAAAGAACTTACTATTACTGGTGCAGTATGGTCTTTGGATGGACAAAAAGAGATCAAAGACACTTTAAAAAGTAAACTGTACATACCTGACGACGACGGTAAACCTCCACGGTGAGAAACAAAAATTTGAATTTCTTAAAACTATATTAATTAAACAGGGATTTAGTAATACAACTTCTGTTTCATTTCTTTTACAGAAAATGTCCATATCGTGAACCGAAGCTGTACTGTAGCGTTACACCCGGTAAAGTAAGCGGCATAAGTTTAATGGGTGCTGAACAACTAGGAAAAGATCTTGCAAAGTGCCTTATAAAGAAAAATGCTCTACAAGTTATGGTTCAGGCGAGAAATGAAATTTTGAATTCGAAGTAGAATCGATACGTAGCATTGTAAGAATTAGTTTTTCTTGATAATGGAACAATATGTTGAATTTTGAACAACTACAGGTAGTTGGTTTAATTGGCATTGTAAGTCGCACTTTTAATTGATAGGATATCATTCAATAATTGTTATACATTTTGATTAATTTATAATTGTTATCACATTAATTCTTTTATTAGCACAGAATATTACTGCCATTTTGACAAATATATTTTAAATAAATAGTTGACTCTCGCTCTCTTTATCAAAGTGAAAATCTATTTATGTACTGTACATATAAAATATGCTGTTTAGAATCTACTAATAGTGAACACTGAGTTAATATTACACTGCCATGTTTTATTTCTGC